ATATGACACTGTGGTTGATGGAATAATGGCCCCCTGGAATCTGTGAATATATTACCTTACACGGCAAAAGGGACTTTGCAGATTTGATTAAAGTTAAGGACCTTGAGATGGGAGGATTGTCCTGGATTATCTATGTGGATGCATTGTTTTAAGCCACTAAGTTTGAGGCAATTTGTTATAGCGACCATAGGAAACTAATATAAACACCTATGTCAAAATGTTTATTGAGAGGATTCAACGAAATAGTGAATTTAAGGTCTTCAGCATGATTCCTGGCCCATAGTAAGCCTTCAATAAATGTTACCTCAACAAACCCCCAAAATTCTATAGTTGAGGAGGGTACATGAGAGAACATGAGAGGCGTGGCATAGGAGGAATTTGGCAAACCTCTGCCAGCTGCCACTGCTGCCCCATGGCTGCCTGCTCTGGACACAGCACAGCCTCTGTCACTGTCCCCTCACCTGGTATGCTCTATAGGAGTTCTGTTTCTGTTACCACTGCTGCCAAGGAGTGGTTGACATCTGCTCCCCGCCCCAATCCCAGCCTCCTCAGAGGTTTCCTATAATGCAAAGGAGAAGGTACCAGGAGTGCTGGGGCCAAGGACAAGGGCGAATTACTGAGAGTCACTCACTTTTCAAGTAAATGCTGACACTTTCTGCCCTCCTTGGTGGACGCTGCTTCTATTAGTAACATCTCTCCAGTGGCTGTTGGAAAAAATTTCTGGAAAGATTCCAGAATGTCTTGGATCAGTTTAAAGAAGATCTGAGCAAGGAAAAGGGGAAATGGAAAAGAATTGTGGGGACGAGAGGATGAGGAATTCATCCCTTCATCAAATGGTTAGGTGCCTTCATCAAACTGTTCTAGGTGCCAGGGGGATCCAATGGCAAAAAGAAAGACAATGTTCCTATTCTTACGATATTTACATTCTAGTGGGAGGTGACAGAATGTAAACAAGTACACATCAAGTAAACAAGTTTACGTTGGATTATGATACAGGCCGTAAGGGAAAGAAAGATGATGAGATAGAAAATGGCTAGGGGAGTAGGACTCCTTCAGATTTTATTAGGAAAGACCTCTCTGTGAAGGTGACATTTTAGCCAAAACTTCAAATGAGGCGATCCCCCAACCTACCCCTGCAAAGCCCTGTAGACAGGTATTCTTGGTTGCAGGACAGCATATGCCAAGGTCCTGGGGGGTGCAGGGAGAGAGAGCCTGGTGGGCTGGTACTGTGAACGTGGGGAAGAGGGTCAGAATGAAGCTGAGAGGGAGGCAGTGGCCGGATCCCATGCTGTGCAGGCCATGGTGAGGACTCTTGGCTTATTATAACTGCAGGCAATCTAGCGAATCAACAGTAGAGGTGTTTTTTTCTGATGTGGTTTTACTTACTTATTTTTGTAGGAAGGAGAAACATACTATTTCCTCCTATGTGCAGATCCTTTTCAGCTGGTGATTTCCTCTTTCAACTAACAGTTTCACACTAATGGTCAATCAAAGGAAACTTGTTAACTAGACACTTGTCCTCTTCTCAGTAACTACTAATTTTTTGGAGCACTTAATGTATATTGGGCTCTATGCTAAATGCTTCGCATTCATTATTTCATTTAATTGCCACCCAAGAGATGGGTATGTTTTATTATCATCTCCATTTCACAGATGAGGAAGCAAGGGCTCGAAGTTCAGCAGTTAGCTCTAGACACAGTCAGTCCGTTACGGAGCTTCACTCTTGGCTTTCCCTTCTGCCTCCACTGTTACCTGCTAGCAGTCTGCTCAACACTCCCTATCGTCAGTGACTTCTTCAATCACCAAGTGTGATGGACTTTCCCTAGAACTGTTCCTCCCCAATTTTCCTTTTGGTCCTCTTTTTCTTAAATTTTCTCCCTTCTCTGGCTTCTATACGCTGGTTCTCTTCAAATGCTCTCTGTTTCTTTTGAGCTGTCCCCTTAATCCCCCACCGACTTCTCTTTCTACCCTCTTTCTTTGAGCGGTCATGTCCCTGATTAACACCATCACTTGAAGGTGGAGCTTTCACTTAAATTTTCTCTTAAGATTGAGACAATCACTTCTAATTTCCTGTTCCTGCATTTTGTAAACATTTTTTTTTTAATTGACAGTAGTTACTGGGCATCTACCATGTGCAAAGCACTGTGCTAAGCACTGGTGATAATATAATGGCTAGGACAGGATCTCTGGGGCAATGGAGTAGGCTTCATTGTTCACACAACTGTAGCTCCAGAGTTTAGCATAGGTCCAGGCATGTAAATATTTGTTGAAGGAGTAATTTAGTTGGGGAGGCAAATTTGCACATTAATGGCTCTAATTCAAGGTTGAATGAGGAAAATGCTGGAATAAAGATACCAGCAAATGCTGAGAAAGCCCAACGGAGTAGGTGAGCAAGGGGAAGGCTTCATGGAGATGACATTGGCATTGAGCCTTTAAATCACCCTAAATCTCAGGGGGTGGGGGGTGGTTCAAGAAATAGCAAGTGATCTGGTGTGCTCAAGCATGATGCAGAAGGTAGTGAAAGATGGATGAGTGAAATCATGTTTCAGGACTCTCACTCTGGCGCCAGTGTAGAGACTGACTTGTTTGGGGAGAGACTGGAAATGGGAAGACCAGTAAGGAGGCTGCTGCACCATCCAGAAGAGTGGTTGCCTACCCAGGAGAATGGCAGAGAGAACACAAAAGAGGGAGGATGGATGCAGGAATTCTGTAAAAGTAGAATCCACGAGGCTTGGCATTTAACTAGATGAAGGGATGTAAGGAAGAAGCAGAAACTAAAAATGGCTTTGAGGCTTCTCACCTGGGTGACTACATGATGGTGGTAACATTTCCCAAATGGAACAGTGGAGAAGGGGCAGATTTGATAGGGACTATGGAAGAAACTAAGCTTTGTTTTGACTTTTTAAATTGGAGATAGCTAGAAGAAAGCTGAAAATAAAAGCTGGATGTCAAGAAATTTGGGAGCTTTCCTGCTGAGGGAGGCAACTGACACCATAGGAGATGATATGAATTGTTGGAGAGATCTTCACTTAAGCAGAAAAGAGGGCTGACGGCTGTGGACACTTTTGAACATTTCTATCTTTCTGTCCTGTGGGAATCACAAATTCAGCATGTCCAAAATGGAATTAATCATCTTCCCACCAAATCTCTTTCTCTTCTTCACTTCTCTAGCTGTGCAAATGGCACTGACCACTCTCAGTCACGCTGGCTCAAAAGTCTCCTCCCTTAATTCTTTACACAATAAGTTTCACCTATAGAAAATTCTGAAAACCCATAAAAACAACAGGTAAAAGATACAGTCATTTATAATGGATGATGTGTAGTATATCATTCTTGTTTTTTCCTATGCAAGTATAGATTTAATTTCCTATATACACGAAAAGAGTCATACTCTACATTTTTAGAGTAACCTTTTTATTAGAGTATAACAGTCACGAGGAAATGTACACAATCAGAAATTGATGACTTTTCATGTCATTAAATATTCTTCCACATCAATTTTAAAAGGCTGCAAGGTATTCCATCTCACAGATGTACCATAACTTAGATAACTAACCCTGGTTGTAGGATTTCTGGCTTTTTTCTAGTCTTTTCACCCCTCCCTCCACAATGCTGCAAAGATGAATTTACCTGTAGTTAACATTTTTGTGCCCAATTCCAATTTTTCCTTAGAATAAAATTCCTAGAGGCAGAATTTCTGGGTCAAAAAGGTATGTGCATTTTTAAAAATAAACTTTTTATTTTAGAATAGTTTTAGGTTTACAGAAAAATTATGAAGTTATTACAGACAGTTCCTATATACCCCACACCCAGTTTCCCCTATTATTAACATCTTATATTAATATAGCACATTTGTCACAATTAATGAACCAATATTGAGACATTATTATTAACTAAGCCCCATACTTTATCCAGATTTCTTTAGTTTTTACCTAATATCCTTTTTCTGTTTCAGTATCCTATCCAGGATATCCCATTACATTTAATTGTAATGTCTCCTTAGTCTCCTTGGTGACAGTTTCTCAGACTTTCCTTGTCTTTTTTGACCTTGACAATTTTGAGGAATACTGGCCAGCCATTCAGTAGATTGTCCCTTAACTGGGGTTTGTCTGATTTTTTCCCCCTTATATTTAGACTAGAGTTATGGGTTTTGGAATGAAAGTACCATAGAGATAAAATGCCACTCTCAACATATCATATCTGGCCCACATACTATCAACATGATTTATTACTGTTCATATTAACCTTGATCACCCGGCTGAGGTAGTGCTTGTCTAGTTTCTCCTCTAAAAAGTTACTCATTTTTCCATTCTTTCCATACTGTACTCTGGAAGGAAGTCACTAAGCACAGCCCACATTTAATGAGCTGTGAGTTATGCTTCAGGGTGGAGTATCTACATAAATTATTTGGAAGTCTTCTGCACCAGAGATTTATCTCTTCTTCCCCATTTACTAATTTATTCATGTCACATTCATATCATTACTTTATATCAGTATGGACTCATGGATATTACTTTTATACTTCGAGTTATAGTCCAATAGTACTTTACCTGGTTTGTTGCTCAAGGCATGTGTATTTTTAAAACTCTGACTCACTACAAAGCTACTCCACCAAAGGTTGTACCAACTCTCACGGTTAAGCATGAGGATCCATTTCCCCTCAATTTCACACACCCTTTATAAAGGTAGGTCAGCAGCCAAGGGCGAGGCCAACGCCCCTCCCTAGCACCCAATTTCCTGACGCCCCCAGAGAAGATGAGGCCAGCCTCGGGGGTGGTGCCCTTCCCCAAAGTGGCACGCAACCCCTTGCGCTGCCCCCCAACTAACCACCACCCCTCCTTGCCCGCAGCCCCTTCTTCGGCTTCCTCACGCCCCGCCCTCCGCGGGCGGAAGTGGGCGCGGCCGCAGACCGGAAGCGCCCTGCCGGGACGGGCTCTCTCGCGCGGCCAGCCCCTCCCACTCCGCCGGCGCCCCACCCCTCCGGCCGAGACCGGAAATGAGGTCAGAGAGGGAAACCCCGGCGGGGAGACTCGGCCCCGAAAGCGGCGGCCGTTGGAGGTGGCTGCTGCAGCCGGTGAGGGGAAAGAGGGGTGGAGAGGGTCGGGGTTCAGGGGGCCGGCGCCAGCCGGGATCGGGGCTCCGGGCCGCGGCGTAGCGACCAGGGGCGCCATGGGGCCGCGGCGGCCGGCGGGAGGGGCGACGGTGGTGGGGCCTTGCTTTTCAGGGCCCATCGCCCCCATCCCGGGGGATGAGGGTCGGGCCGTCTCCCGGACGACAGTCGCCTCCCCTCCTTTCTTGTTTCTGGCTCTTTTGGGCTGGCGACAGCGTGAGGGTGTCCTGAGCCGTGGTCGCCTAGTCCTCGGGGGTGGGCCGAGGTGTGGGGGAGAATCCTTCGAAACACGCCTTTTCTCAATATGTGGCCTTGTTGCGACCCCTGATCTCGGAGGGAGCTTAGTGGCCAGGAGTGGTATTTTGGCAGTTTCTGCCCTAAAAGGGCTGACACCCTGCCCCTGGTGAGCCCTGTGAGAAGCTGCCTCCTGCCTCCTCTCCCGCCCCAACCCCGTTTTCTCCTCCGACCCTGCGCCTGCCTCTCTTTTTACTGCTCCTAGTTTCCTTTCCTTCCCTTGCATGACTCAGCCAGCCTTTCTTCTCCCCGAGTGCTTGCCTGGACCCGGGGGTCCTATCGGACTGTGCATCGAAACCGGAGGTGTGGAAGTCCCAGGGTTCTTCTGTCACCTACTGTTCGAATTGCAATCTTTTAGACAGGAGATTCTGCACAGGCATTCGACCACAGGTTGTTTGGTAACTTCGTTCCACGTTCAAGTTTGCATAGTTCCGCTTGAGTTTTTAAAGCAGTAGTTCTTTATTAGGGTAAGAGATATAGACATGCTGTTCCCCTTTATCTATTTTAGTCTCAGGGACAGTTGTCTCTTAAACACTAGTCATGGAGTTTTAAACTACATCTTGTTGCTTAAAGGGACGTGGTCATTTTATGTGTGTGGCTTTTGACACTTTGAGAAGTTTTGTTTGGTTGGTAGTTTTCGACCTGGGTGTCTCCATTGCTCTCACCGATATGGCAGATAACCCAGACGAATGTTTTCCTGCCTTTGAATTCGTTGGCATAGGGACAGCATGAATATAGGTTTTAGAAAGTCCTTTGCAAAATGTGAACTGCATGAACGGAAATACGGTCTGTGAGTGGCGCCACACAGAGCTTTAAGCTCTAATTTATGGTCTTGAAATACTTTGGGCTTAACAAGGCCTAGGGAAAAAGTGCTAATTTAATATGTTTTTAATTAGATGTTGTACAAATTATATTAGATCTTTCCCTTTAAAGGGGCATTTTGAAAATTGCTCCTACTGCTTTCATCCCTTAGAAGGTTTGCCTCTGAAGTGACCCCCTGAAGAATAATGGTTTGACAAGAATGAATAAAAACATAGGAAATTTTGGAAAACAGCTAGAAATCTGAGAGACTCCACCCATCCCTGTCATTTTAGTCTTTATATCACGTTTTTTTGTGATTGTCTGGCAGTGAAGCACAAGATTAGGGTGATCACTTAATTTATTTTCTGAAGGATGGGGAGAAGAGCATAAAAGTTGCTAATTATTCAAAAATAGATGACATAGTCTATAAGGTTCTTTACCTGGTAGCTTCCAGGTGGTAGTTGAGACCAGAATGGGTGCAAACTTAGTCTCTTTTTTCCATTCCGAGTAGAAACCTGGGATGCTGCAAATTCTTGGATCACTAAAACTGCAAGTAGTCTTCCTTAAAGTGTGTCACTAAGTTGTCTTTCTGTTCCCTGCCACAAGTATTCTTATCAGTGACCCCAGACCGTAGAATAGTCCTTCATCCATATTTCTGAAGTTGTGTGTTTTCTGCTCTTCTCTGATGAGACATTTTCTAATTTTTGTTAGATCTCATCATCAGGCAATTTAGTGACAAGTTGAATTGGGGAAAAATGGGAAAGATTTATTCTCCGCTTTGCTTGTTTTTGCTAATGTCCAACTTGTCATCTTGTGAGCGTTTGAGTTTTTGTGCTTAAGAACATGTTGACTTCAGGCATTTAACAAGGGCCAAACACCTATTTTTAGCGGCTTAAGGAAGCATGGTTGGTAGGAACAGAGTGTAAGTGTAGCTAGATGAAAGGTGACTTTATTTTCTATAGATAGGGTAGACTCTGCAGTGCCATGATCTATTTTATAAAATTGTTCTAAAACAACAGATCCTATTCAGGCTTTCTTTTTCTGTTTTTGAACTTCCTTTTGGCAGATGTGGCCTCATGGATGAACTGGTACATGACTTAGCCTCAGCCTTGGAGCAGACATCTGAGCAGACTAAGCTTGGTGAACTGTGGGAGGAGATGGCCCTGAGCCCCCGGCAGCAGAGGCGTCAGCTTCGAAAACGGAGAGGCCGGAAGCGCCGTTCAGACTTCAGTCACCTGGCAGAGCATACCTGCTGCTACAGCGAGGCCTCTGAGTCGAGTCTGGATGAGGCCCTTAAGGACTGTCGAGAAATGGCCCCCGTCACCAATTTTAGTGACTCTGATGACACAATGGTTGCCAAACGGCACCCAGCTCTCAACGCCATTGTTAAGAGTAAGCAACATTCTTGGCACGAGTCTGACTCCTTTACTGAAAATGCACCTTGTCGACCGCTCAGGCGGCGGCGGAAGGTGAAGCGAGTGACATCAGAGGTGGCTGCCAGCCTTCAGCAGAAGCTCAAGGTGTCCGATTGGAGCTATGAGAGAGGCTGCAGGTTCAAGTCTGCTAAGAAGCAGCGTCTGTCACGCTGGAAGGAGAATACTCCCTGGAGCTCATCAGGTCACGGGTTGTGTGAATCAGCAGAAAACAGAACTTTCCTGAACAAAACGGGGAGGAAAGAAAGGATGGAGTGTGAAGCAGATGAGCAAAAACAGGGCTCTGATGAGAACATGTCCGAATGGTGAGATCTCCCTTACTAAGTCAGAGATTTTCCTGGTTAATTTTATCCAAAGTACATCCACAGTCTTGATGAGTACACCTTTCTGTGAAACCAGCCACTGTAATACTGACTTGGCAGCCCTCCTTTAATCAGTCAGCTAGTGTTTCTCTCCAGCTTTTTAAAGTACATTCATGCTTCTACTTCTCTGTGTCAAGGAGGCTATATGGAACAGAAACACATTGGTTTCTAAAAATTGTTTAAAATGTGTACCTCAAATGCGTAACCAAGAATTTTATTTAAAAAACAATTTGCTGCTGTTTATGCCGTATAGTACATACATGGATGTGGTACTTTAGAACCAGGGTCTCAGCAGAGGCTGATGTGTGTGTGTCTGTGTGTGTGTGTGTGAGGAAGATGCTGGTGCCAGGCATAGGGAGTTTGTCTGTGCTCCTGGTAAGCTGCCTTTACCCATTAAGAATGAGGGCTTTAGATACTTCTGGGCTATAATTCTGTTCTCTGCTATTTACAGTTTAACTGTATTGAATTTATTTTTTATGGCTGACATTCAAGTTTTCTGAACACATGGGAGGCTTTGAAAATAACGGTACTGAATCCCATTAGTCTTACACCAAATGTCATCGAGCCAGAAAAATTTGTCTCTAATGGGTGCATGTTTAAAATGTCAGTGCAGTTTTTGATGACTTTTTATTTTTTATTTCTCAGATAGATAGTCCTAGGAACATTGATACTCTCCAGCTGGATACTTTAATATTATCATTAATATTGATGTGTGATATCTGTTTCTTAGTGAAGATGCTGTTGGTGTTTCAGATGGGGCAAATCTTTGTGGTGAGGGACTGTCCTATGCCTTGCAGGATATTTGGCATCTCTACATTGTTCCCACCCCTCTTCATAATATCAAACCAAATGCCTCCCTGGGTGCTCGGTAGGTGGGTTGAGTAGTCCTGATTGAGAACCGTTGTATTCTATAATTGTTAATATTAGCTAGCATTCATTAAGCACTAACTGTGTGCCAGGCACTGTACTATTGTGCATAACATATATTCTTATTTAATTTTTGCAACTCCACTGTATGGTAGGTACCACTGTTTGTATTTTATAGAAGAGGAAATAGAGGTTAAAGGCATTTAGATAAATTGCCCAAGGTCACCCAGTGGCAAAACTAGGAATCAAACCTGATTCCAAAGCTCAGACTTACCCACCGTGTTTTGCTGCCCTTTGAGTTTGCCTTTTCCCTGGCTCTTTTTTTGTCTCATCTTAACTTGTACAACTGTAGAATGTATGACCTTTCTTAGGACTTTGCTTCTACTGAAGTTTGTCTGAAAAACAAAGACATAAATTTTAGGAACTCTGAGGTAAGGCTGTGTCAGGAACAGGAAAAGCTGTGTAGGTCTGTATGCCTGTACCTTTCATGGGTGGTTTTTAATCCAGCTTTTACAGTTTTTCTTACTAACCTTGTATTTGCCAGTCTGCACAACTAGGTAGGTGGCTTGTAATTTCACTCTCCTAATTTTCATCTAATGTATATTGTAAGGCCTGTGTACCCAATTTTTATTTGTAATTTTGGATTATAAAGATTTTTTTCCTCATCATGCTATTTTTAATCAAACAAGAAATGCTTAGTCAACTTGTAGCCTTTCACGATATTGAAACCCTCAATTGAGGTGTTGAAATTTGTCAGTATCGAGCATATATGCCAAATAGTAATCTTGCTGTTGAGAATGGTGATTTTAAAAACAGCTTTTTGGGATGATAGCTTGTTTGTATTTCTTCCCCAGAATTTCTTGTTAAACTATGACATAATTGTGTGTGTGAGAGACTGTTAACTCTGTCTCCTCTAAGATAACAGCCCGAGTATGGTTCCAAAAGCGGAGCCTGTAATTTAGCAGTGAGGCCCTTCAGTCTCTCCAGTTCCTTCTTACCCCGGACACATCTATCGCACATTACAGTCAGGTTGTGGCAATATACATTCTAGTTATCTGAGAGCCTGGATAAATTCAAGTAGGCCGCAATTCTTATGAATTAGTCTTTTCGAATTGAAGAGACCTTGTTCCCCATTTGGTCTATCTCCCTGGTCCATGACTTGAGTTCTCTCAGGAATGTAGATGCCAAAGTCCTTGTAGCTATGAGGGAATAATGGATGGAGTAATAGCAGAATGAGAAAAATTCTTTAGAATCTAATAATTTAGGAGTCTTGAATTCACCTTGACTTATTGATGCATCTGTAGTTACAAACAGAAGTGGTTTGTATTTTTTTCCTCCTACATCTACTCTATAGGGAAAGAGGGATGATTCTTATTCTTTGACTGCATGTTATGTTCAGACTCTCAACGGTAAAGTGGATCTAAAATCTGACCTCAATTATTAAGCACACCTTATAAACAGAACTAGCATTAGAGTGTGTTTAAGTAGATAATAGTTTATGATTTGGATATGTTGTCTTGGTGAGTTGATTCTGTCAAAATTTTTGTACTTATTTTCTGCATTAAAAGAAGTACTTTGAAGAATCCTCTTGGTTACTCTTTCATAAATCTGCTTGGATGTGCCAGTTTATTCACATACACATCAAAGTATAAAACTTTACTTTTTATCAGTGGTATTGAGGGTTGTCAGAGTATGTGATCCAACTTGTAAAATTATTGGGATGAAGTTGATCATTAAGCTTAGCTTAGCCTAGTCAATGGATAGAGTTCTTTTTAAAAGCATATATTAGGTGGTTAGGTTCGAAAATGTTTGTCTTAATCAGAGAGCTTTATTTCTAATTTCTTTCAGTTTGCTCTGCTAACTAAACATGGAGTTTTTAGCTTAACCAATAATTCTTATTGCTTTTCTCTTTCTATCCTTCCTTCAATTCTACACATCAACCAATCGCTCAAGAGTTCTGAGGAACTGAAAGTGGTTATGATGTAATAGTTTTTTATGCCTGCAAAAAGAGCAGTTATTATTTTAATATTTTTCTGTGCATGTGTGTTCTATTCTAAAATGGAACAACTGTTTTGTAAAATTACTGTCTACTGATCTTTATTCAAATTGTCTATATAGAAGCTATTAATTAGGTGATTCCTAGCTTCATTTTGTTCTATTCTTCACTAACACATCATTCATTTGTTCTCTTGAATATAGTTTAGCTACTTTTCTTTCATAAGTGAGTAGGTTTGGTATGGCCTGAAGTCGCAGTCAGGAGCCTTCCTAAGGTGATGTATTAGAGGCTGATCTCACAGGAAAGAAAATGTTCCCTTCTCTTAGAAGGCAAGTGACAGAGATAGAGTGCTAAACCTTCCCCCTCCTTCTCCAGCCCATGCTGACCTTCTGCGGCCCCTTGGTGCCTCTTGTTTTCTTATTTTTATAGAAAATCAATATCCCTTCTGACACAAACAATAGCTCAGATGCAAGAATAAATGGGAGAAAGCTGAGATCTCTGTCCATCACCTCTCACTTGAACCCCCCCAAACTCTTTAATTATGAGCGTGCTTTGCTCCAGGTGTTTGCGACAGTGAAATTGCTAAATGAGGACCATTTTAACCAAAGATTGGGTGATCAATAACCCTCTATAGCCGTAGCTTGTTCGATCAATAGCATTCATTATTTCATGGTTAAGGTAAGTAGCCTCCTTTGCAAGTGGAGGTCATTAATCAGGGGTTACTGGAGCTGTGCAAAAGAATATATGTGGTGGGTTGAGGGTGTTCTGTGTTCTGTTTTGTAAATAGGGATGCTGAGCAAGAGTGTGTTTACTATCATTGCAAATGGTACTATTGCATTTGAGAGTTTTGAATAATTAGCATGGTGTGCTTATGTAGATTTATTCAAAGTTCTGCTAGTATATCCTTAGGAACAATGGAAAAAGACAACCTGGGAGGTGGATTTGATACTATTGTATTTGAAGTTCTATCTCTTGAAAGAAATGTCTACCTCTTGAAAGAAAAGTTACGATTATTTTGTGTGACTCCAGAGGAAGGAACTAAGACTCTTAGAAAGTACAGAGAGTTAAGTGTTGCCTCAGTATAAAATATAACGTTCTAAAAATTAGAACTCTATAAAAATGAAGTGAATTGTTTCACCAGGTAATGAGTTCTAGATCACTGGAGGGCTTCAAGCCTGGGCTTGGTGACCACTTACTGAGTTACTGTAGAGTTGGAGAGGCTGAACTGAATGACCTCTAAGGTCCCTTGCAACACTGAGATTCCGTAATTTCGTAGTTCTTTTCAGTCACAACCTCCTTCCCATCGTTGTAACTTCATATTTTAAAAAGCATCTCATAAGCAGCCTCAACTGCCCACTAAAATACTTATGAAGACATAAAACATTGCAAACTCATATTGCTAGAAACTAGGACTTACAGTTGGCCTCTTGCTGAGATTTCCTCAAACTGCAAGGCTGATAGAACTGTACTGGTGAGTGCGATTGGAAGCCCACATCAACAGTGCTGAGCCTGCCCTGAGGGAGATAGCGAGACCCTGCATCCTTTCTCTGTAGTCAACCCATGGTTCAGAAATGCAAGGTATGTTTCAGTCAGAAAATTGGGCAGCTGCGGTTTGAACCAAGTGTTGTTCCATCCTTTGCTTTCCAACCAGTATCTTTCAGTTTTTCTTTGGAGGCTGTAACTTCCAGAATAGGAAGGGAATCTTAGTGTTTTCTGTGTGTATATTTGTATTTGGGGGTAAGAGGCAGTCACAGTGTATTGAGTCCTGGGAAATATAGTCTCCAAGAATGAAGTTTACTGTTGGCATGGACAGAGAAGGAAAAAGCACTCATAGTAGTGCGTTCTGGAAATCGTAGTGTTTTATATACCTTCATTTATTGCAGACTCCTGGAATGGGGTAAGAATCAGACAGTGAGGGTTAGAAGAAGATCCTCTCTCAGTCCAACATAGCTATATGAGATAAAAGCCTACCAGTGACACTGGGAATTGAGCTAGGGGCTCTGCACATCCTCTTGGCCAATTGTGGATGTGAGAAGAGCTTGCTACTAAGGGGGAGAGAATGGGACCAAGGGTAATTTAC